ATCTCTCTCTCTCTCTCTCTCTCTTTCCCAAAGGATGCATTCACGATTGAAGCGTGCGATGAGGGAATTGGGATGACATGTGCTGGGGATGTTGAATGGGCGTGCTTGAATCTTTGATGTGGGTGTTTGAATCTTTGATGTGGGTGTATGTGTGTGTGTGTGTGTGTGTGTGTGTGTGTGTGTGTGTGTGTGTGTGTGTGTTGGCTGTAAATGATGACCGGCTTGCTCGTCACAATGATCGGTCAGGAGTGTCAGCGTTGCGTTGAGGGAGGGAGAGGTGTGCGGTGCGAGGCAAATGACCGTTCGCGCTCGCCTCGCAGACGCAGACGCAAATACGGTCGCCACCACCGCCAACGCGCTAGCCATGTTGACTCACACCTGCTCTGGATGTGCAGGCCTGCTCCTCCTCCTCCCCGCCTCCCCCCCTACACCTCCAACAAGCCCTCTTGCGCATTCATGCTCGTCTCTCGCAACTTTTCATCCACCCACCGCGCATGCTGATCGTTCATAAAGTCGCTCAAATCAGCATGCAAAGCTTCGTCTGGACGATTTTGTTCCTCTCTCGGTGCAGGTTTGCAGGGCGACGGCACGTTTGCTGCATGTCGAGAGGAGGGTGCGGAAAATTTGCCCAAGCTCATACCCTTTGTCGGCGCTGCTCGAGGAGTGATGGAGCTTGTGCGTAAAGATGCGACGACCGCCGTCGTCGTCGTCGGCTTCGTCGTCAATGAGGCACCTCTTGACACCAAACCCTTTGTGGTTATCAATTTTGATGCATTCGAAGCGGTACGCGCCGTCGCGTTGCTCGCCTCCTTCACCTTTGAGCTGGAGGAAGCGCCCGCATTGCTCCTGGATGCTCGCGCCGAACGAATCGCGATCGTCGTCTGTTTGGGTGCGGGTTTGGGCAGATTCGCAGCAGCAAGCTTTCGATTAGGCCATGGCAAGTCTTGCTCGGACATTTTGCTTTTGCGAGTAGGCACTAGCCAGGGCGCCTCTTGATCCTGCAACAAAGCGAGATTGCGCGCATCCTCTAGCTCCACCTCGCGCACGAATCCGCCAAATCGCATGCTGCATAGACTGCGAGCAAGCTCATCTGCTCTAGGAAGTCCGTCCAGCTCAAAAGGTAGCGAATGGGCAACTGGAGGGTATGGGTGTGTGGTGAGAGGTTCATCAGCGGTTGAAAATTGAGAATTGAGAACACATGCGCAGCATTGCCATACCCACTCTCGACGGGCGCAGGCATGTACTCGATCTCTGGCCAAGCGTCATCTGGCGCATCATCCGCTGGCCAAGCAAAGGCGGACTGCTTAGCAGCGATGCTTCCCCCCTCCTCCTCCTCCTCCTCCACTTCCTTGATCGGTTGACGAGCTTCCAAAGCTTCTGCCATGCGCGCTCTCGCTGCACCCGCTTTACCAGTCTGCGCCGCTGGTGTTTCAAAGACTGTCGTGCTGTTGCTGTTGCTCTGGTTGCTAGATTTGGCCGGAGTCTGCAGCGCGCGAATCGTTGTATTGCTGCTGGCGCCAAGCTTCGTAGGACTTGCCGACCTGCTCTTCGAAGGCGATCCTCCCTGCTCTTCGCCATCCTTGCTGCTGCTCCTGCCACCCCTGTTGGTCTTGTCGCCCAACATCCCAGCACCCTTCAAGCTGGTACTGGCGCTGGTACTGGTGCTGGACTCCGACTTGACTTTGGGCGTCCCTGCTCTTCTAGCCAAATCCTCGAACAATCGTTTGCCCTCTGACACTTTGCCATCTCCTAGTCTTCGCGTCGTCGTGCCGGTCCCGCCAGGTTCCAGTCGCTGTTTGCGCGACGGGGAAGGAGAGCGGGACGCGCGAATGGGGGAATGAGGACGAGGCGTTTGAGCGAACATGTTGGAGATGAGCGCGCTTGCGCAGCTGGGATGGTGGACGGGTGTGGGGGAGTGAAGGCAAGGGCGAGTATCTGGGAGGTGCATGGGCATGGGCATGGGTTAGCATAGCTGCAGCTTAATTAGCACCTCCTTTGCGCTGGGCGCGCTTGCGCGTGGAGTTTGAACTTGGGTATCGCGCGCGCGCGTATCTCGTACGCGGCGTTCAGCAGCGCGCGCTTCGACACGTGATTGCGCGATGCGAGGTTCGCCGCCGGCTCGATGTCGCATCAGCGGTCAGGACGATGCCCGCAACAGTTGCGTGCGTGCGTGCGTGCGTCCCATTTCACTACACCCGAACGCACAACCCCCAAACGCTTGCTCCCGCTTCTCTCCATCACATCACTCTCGCTCGCAGCTTCAACATTCTTTGGCTTTCCTGTAAGCGCGCACCCCTCATCATGAACACGAAAGCGGCAGCGGAACGTCATGCTAGACAATTGGTGCAGCTGCTTAGGGAACCTGGAAATGATCAGTGCGCAGATTGCGGGGGCAGATCTCCTCGATGGGCAAGTTGGAACTTGGGCATCTTTATATGCGTACAGTGTGCTGGCGTGCATCGAAAGCTGGGAACGTGAGTGGTTGCGATGGGCGCAAGATGGAGAGCGGGCGCGTGTTGGGAGTGCAGAGAAGAGCCTGGCTCGCGCACGCCTTCTTTCAGAGCTGCTGACTGCTGCACCCGCACCCGCACCCGCACCCGCATTCGCATTCAGCCACATCACCAAGGTCAAATCGCTCACGCTGGACACTTGGACTAGGGAGCAAGTGGATCGCATGAAAGAGGTGGGAAATACACGCAGCAATGCCAAGTGGAATCCAGACGAGAAGCGGAATAGACCGCCTGCAAATGTGGAAGAGAGCGAGAGGCACAGGTTAGTTTGGGGAGTGATGCGCCACGGTATGCCAAATCGAGCTAGCTCGGCTCATCACCATTCCCGACTGTCTCCTGCAATCCAGTGAGCTTGAAAGATTCATCGTGAAAAAGTATCAGGGCGTCTTTATGGAGCGCAAACCGCCGCCGGTTCCTCAAAAGGATGCATCTGCTTTGCGACCACCACCTTCACCTTTCCGAGCTCGCTCCCCTTCGCCAGCTCATAGCGCCACCGCACCAACATCCGCTCCTCCTTCAGCTCCATCTGCGGGTCCGTCCATCGAGCGAAGCAGAACCGCTCCGATACCTCAGCATAGCAACGTTGCCAGCTCAGCCAAGCCCACCTCGCCTCCACCTGCGCTTCCGACGCGCAGTTCCGGCTTGACCGTACCTGGTGGAGCACCACCACGAGCATCTTCCAGCGCAGCGCTCATGAACCATGGCGGTCATGCAGCAGCAGCAGGTTCTGCATCATTTGCGTCCACATCCGCTTCAACAACAACGACGCCCTCATCAGCACCTAGCACGTCATCCCGCTCGAGCGTCTTTGACGATCTGATCTCGTTGCAGGAAGGTCCAGCGCAGACGGCTCAACCTCCTCTACAGATGAACCCCTGGGCAGCCATGCAAGCTCAAGCAGCTGCTTATCCCTCTAGTCCGCTAGGCATGAACGGCACGTGGACGGGAGCAGCGGGCATGGGCTACGCAGCAGCAGCAGCAGCAGCTGCTGCTGCTGCTCCTCCTCCTCATCACGCACCTGTGCATGCTCAGACGTACGACTTTTCAAATCTCGGTGCTCAGGCTTTTGGACCTAATGTGCGCAGCGTCAGCGCAGGTGCGCAGTCTGCCAATCCGTTCTTCTCTCAGCAGCAGCAGCAGCAGCAGCAGCAGCAGCAGACGGGAGCTTACCAAGCTAGCATGATGGGACAACAAGCGTTCGGTGCGAGCGGAATGGGAATGTCGTCGCCGATGCATCAACAACAAGCGTTTGGCGCGGGCACGGGTGCGGGCGGAGTGGGAATGATGACATCTCCCGCCTCTCCTCAACAATCTTTTAGCGCTTCGCCCTTCTTTCAACAACAGCAGTCACCTGCTTCGCCATTCTTGCAGCAATCGTATACCCAGCAGCATGCGCCATTTCAACAACAACAACAACAGCAGCAGCAGCAGCAGCAGCCGGCTTTTGGAGCTTGGGCAAGCAGCATGATGCCTAGCAGTCGGCAGTAGCGCAGATGCCCAGACGTGGTCATGACGTCCCTTCTTCACGCACGCATACATTTAGTCACCCCTCTTTTTGCTCTCATCACTGCATGCTATTTCGTCTCTTGATACATTCGTGTGTGGAGCGGCTGTATGCGGTGTGCGGTCGGAGTGGGATAAAGAAGAGGGCAGTGAGGAGTGTCAGCGAGCGTCAGGCTGACGACTTGAGCACTCGAGCCTCGATCCTCGATCCTCGAGCCTCATCCTCCCGACCTGCCTGACTGCTTGCCTGCCGCGCATATATCCTCAGACTTCCAAGGAAGGTCGTGTGAGCCCTCACTGGACCAAGGCGGCTACGACTCTCGAATCAAGCAATACAAACGAAATCAGGTAAGCGCGACCGCTGGTCCCACCAGCACTCTCATTGCGAGAGGGTTCGAGCTGGAGGACCCGTCCAAAAAGGAACGTGGGCTGCAAAAGCTCGGTTAGATTTCTCTTGCTTGATCCATCGTGGGAGGAGCACTATTGCCCCATCTCCCCCTCTACGAAGGGGAGATGCTTTGGGAAAAAGGGCCCTAGAGTGGAAACTGCGAATTTTGGCTGGATACCAAGAGTATCATCGTCGGATGGCGCGGCGGCGGCGGCGGCGGCGGCGGCGCAGGCGGGAATGTGTGCGAAGCGCTTGAACTGCAATACTCACAGAAAGAGGGGTGGTGTGTCATTCTCGAGTGGACTAGAGCGACCGAGAGGCAGGAAAAAGAAGACGATTGTCAGATTTCTCACGCTTCCGTCGTTACGTTTGCAAAGCGTTCGCAATGTGGGGGGGGGGGGGGGGGGGGGGGGGGGGAGAGGAAGCACACGAGGGCTCCATCGCCATCGCCCCTTTCCGGCGCAACAAATCCATCAGTCAAAGATGTGCTGGCATGCACAAAAGAAATTGTAGTTTATTTGCTCGACAGCGATCGAGCGTGTCCTTTGCGTCTCGTCATGGTCGTGTAGGACGGGGAAAGGAAGATGATGCTCATCTTTTGGAATGTGCGCGGGGGGGGGACGTGTTGCTTGCGGGTACGAGAGCTGGATGATCCGATTCGACTCACCTGTTTCGAGTGTTGAGGGGGTAAGCAGGGGTGAGAGGTGGTGAGCGGGGTCGGTGAGGTGAGGTGAGGTGAGGTGAGGTGAGGTGAGGTGGGGTGAGGTGAGGTGGGGTGAGGTAGGTGGGGTGAGGTGAGGGGTGAGGTGACTGCTGGATGCTAGACGAGACGAGTTGTTGGATATGCGACGGACATGTGCGACGCGCGAATTTCAAAAAATAATCTTGCTCCATTTTGATTGCATGCACGCGCGGGTTGCTACAGGACAGGTGACCACGTGGTCCAGGCAACCATTCAGCCCTTCTCGCACGAGAATCAGAGCAGCAAGCAGCAAGCAGCTTTTGTTCGCCGATGAGCGAGCGATGGCGTGATCGCGTCTGCGCGGCGTGCTTGCTTGCTTGCATGCATGCGTGCGTGCGTGCCGTGCGTGCATTGCAAAAAAAGGCTCGACCGACTCGACTCGACTCGACTCGACTCGACTCTTGACTCGCTGCCCGCGCGCCGCTAGCCAAAGGCGGAGCGAGGATGGGTCAGCATGTCGGCCAATCAAAAAAAGAATTAAGAAGACGAGGCTCGCGCGCGCGCGCGCAATCAAGCAAGCCACAGCCAGCCAGCCAGCCAGGCTCGCCCAAAAGAAAAAAAAAATAAATCCCGTCTGCTGCCAGAAGAAGCAGGAGGTTAATTGAATGCGCAGAAGAAGACCCTAAAGCTGCTGCTGCTGGCTGGGTTGGGTTGGGCTGACCGACAAGTGCTGCTTTACAGTCCGTAACCTAACGGGGACCTCCGCATCTGACCGAAGAGCATCTCCTCTCGCCTCGCCTTTGCCGAGCATCTGACTCATCAGCTCGACAAAGCGTGCATGCGCGCGTGCCCCCCCTTTC